ACTAATTTATCATAAGTCAAAGGTCATGGACACTGTTATTATTATTACCTTTATTCAAATTGTTTTGTTTAGGTTTTGTGTCCGTATGGTAGGCATACAATATCTTTGTAATTAGTTACCTTGTGGTAACATGAAACTTATAACTTTGTTAATGTTTTTGTTTTTTTTTTTTTTTGTTTTTTTTTGTAAATTAAAGCCACATTTGCTTAAGAGTAGTTATGGAAAATGGCTTTGTGAAACTTTTGTCAGATAAGCAATTTGCATGTTAACATTAAAATTTGCACTTACAATTTTTATTGCCTCTTCTTTGTGAAATATGTTTCGTGGGCGTATGAGTAACGCAATTCAGTAATGCTTAGCTGTTGCACATTCACTGCTCCTTATTTTTATGGTCTTCCCGGTTGAAAATACTGAATTTCAGCAATCAGACTTGGAAAGTTTTTGGCAGTAATATGGTTCAGCTGTTGCTTTGACTAGTTGGGCATGGAAAGTACTTTAAAAGCGTCATTAACAGGGTAACTAATATTTCATATTTAAACAAATTTCTTAAGGTGAGGTAATAAATGTCTGGAATTGGTTGATATGAGATTTTTAGGGTGTAGAAATAATTAGAAATTATTATAACCGTGATAAATAAATAGAAATATAAATATTACAAATAATTTAACAAGAAGCGGATTGCTTCAAGTTGACTTATAGTTGTAAAGTTTTTAGCAAATATTTATAAATAATTATAGTAATAATATTTATAATGTAGTATTTGTCTGCAACGACAAATAATGAATTTCAAAATGATTTATAATAATTTTTTTAAATATTACTGCAATTAATCTGCAATTATAATAAAAGCTTTTATTTAAAATTAAAATGTAATGATATTCATAATTATTACCTACTAAATAATTGAATTCCACTGTATAGTCTTTAAAAATACCGGCAGTTATTTTGTATGAATACTCTATTGCTCTAAAATAATATAATATTTAAACAAATGCATCTATTTACCAATTCCATCTAATTTAATTTATTAAATCAATTTAAATTTAATTGTGGATTTTATAACTAAAATTTAAGACTTTAATTAACATATATATATTATATAAATGTATGTGTTTATGAAATTTCAGCATCGTTTTTCATCGGTTATGTACTTAATTGATGTAAATGCTCACGAAAGCTATTAGTCAAACGATTCAAATGAGACTAGAAGATAATGATAATAAGATGAGACTATAAACAACAATAACACAAAATAGAATATCAGTTACTAAAATAGTTATTACTGAAATTTTGTCTGTCAGTACTCCATAGAGATTTTAATCGATACACGTTTATATTAATAAAAATTTTGTTAAAAAATATTATATTTGCCTCGATAAACGTATAACACAAGAGACATTTGACTAAGCTACTCTATGGAGGGTGCAGAACCATATTATTTTTGTTATATTCTATATTACTATTTGATCGATTATAATTAATTAAGGAAATGAAGTCAAAATAATTATTTTTGACTGCATATATTATCAATATAATAACTTTAATGATTCCACAAGAAATTTAAAAAATATTAAATGATTTGCTCAATATACACAAAATAACTTTTAAAATATAAATTTTAGTTAAATAGCAAATTCAGTACAATATCAAGCTTTCATCGAAAAATTTCAGAAGAAATATATTTCAATATGATGGCTTCGAAATTTTTGTTTAAAATTTTAATACGTGCTTCGTTGTTCATATTCTTAGTACAGGTAAAATTTTTAATTATATATTTTTTAAAAATCTGAATTTTTGCTGATATTAAAGGCTATCACCAAATTTGAGTTTACAAATATTGTGTGTAAATCACTTGATAAGGAATTTTCCAATTTCGAATATTGTTTCTTAAAATCGGTTAACCGCTCATATAAGTATATGTCTTTAAAAGCTAAACTTTATAAACTGCCAATAACAGAAATAAAGGTATGTTTAGAATATATATTTCAAATAACAATAATTCAAAAATTAAAATTTGTATATGATTTTATTTCTTGATTTAGGTCCGATATGCTCTCTTAAAAAGGGCAAATGGTTATAAGCCATTTTTATACAACATAACATTCGATGCTTGCGAATTTTTACGATCTCCTAATAATCCAGTAACAAAAGTAGCGTTCACATTGGTTAAGAAACATACAAACCTGAATCATACCTGTCCTTTTGATGTAGGTATTTTACTATTGAAGTTTTAAAAAAATATTTTATAATGTTTTATATCTTAGCATGATTTGATTGTGGAGAAACTTGATTCAAACTATGTGGCAAATATACTATCACGTTTACCTTTTCCGAGTGGAGATTATGCAGTCTATTCAACATGGTTTGCTTATGATATTCCACGGGCTGATGTCAACATATACTTAAAGGCTACAGATTAAACATTAATTTTTGATTGAGAATTATTATTGCTCTCCTGTATTTAAATTTATTTGAAATTAATTTTATTAAATTTTATTTTGCAAATACTTCTAAGTTCTTCCGACTACTTTATTATCAACTATAAGTATTACTCCTTTATTACAGAATTCTGGTGTTCTATTTTTAACAGTTATATTATATGTTATATTTTAAATATAACAGTTTACTTTTTTAAGTTCAACTTCATTATATATTATATATCGACTATTACTTAAAGATATATAATATTTAAATAATTACTAATTTGATTTAATTTAGTTTATTAAATGAATTTATTATTATAGAACATTAATTTATATTTATTATAGAACATTAATTAATGTATAGATTATATATATGTATGTGTTTTTCATCGTCTATGTACTTATTCTATGTACTTACTTAATATAAATGTAAACGAAAACTATAAGTGAAACAATTCAAATGAAACTTTATATAAATAGCATTAGAACAAAACAGTATATCAGTAGTTGTTACTGAAATGTTCTTTGTCAGTCCATAGAGATTTTAATCGATACACGTTTAAATTAGTAAAAATTTTGTTAAAAATTTTGTTATATTTGCCTCGATAAACGTCTAACACAAGAGACCTTTCACTAATCTACTTTATGGGGGGTAGAGAACCATATTATTTTTGATTACATTCTACATAAGTATTTGATCGGTTGTAATTAATGGAGGAAATAAAATCATAATAATTATTGTTGACTGCGATATAATAACTGTAATGATTCAACGAGAAATTTAAAACATATTAAATGATTTGGTCAATAAACACGAAATAACTTTTAAAATATGAGTTTTAGTAAAATAGCAAATTTAGTTACCATATTAAGCTTTCATCGTATACATTTTAAAAGAATTTATGTAAATATTTGTGATGGCATCAAAAATTGTATATAAAATTCTAATACGTATTTCATTGTTCATATTTTCAGTACAGGTAAAATTCCTAATTATATATTTTTAAAATATCCTTATTGTTTATTATATTAAAGGCTGTTTCCAAACTTGAATTTACAAATATTGTATGTAAATCATTTGATAAAGAATTTTCCGAATTCGAATATTGTTTCTTAAAGTCAGTTAATCGCTCATATAAGTATATGTCTTTGAAAGTTAAACTTCACAAACTACCAATAACAGAAGTAAAGGTATGTTTCGTATATATATATTTCAAATAACAATAATTCAAAAATTAAAATTTGTATATGATTTTATTTCTTCATTTAGGTCCGATATGCTCTCTTAAAAAGGCTAAATGGTTATAAGCCATTTTTATACAACATTACAGTAAATGCTTGCGAATTTTTACGATCGCCTAATAATCCAGTAACAAAAATAGCGGTCGCTATGGTTAAGAAACATTCAAATATGAATCATACCTGTCCTTTTGATGTAGGTATTTTACTATTAAAGTTTTTAAAAAATATTTTATAATATTTTATATCTCAGCATGATTTGATTGTGGAGAAACTTGATTCAAACTATGTGGTAAGTTTACTATCACGTTTACCTATTCCGACTGGAGATTATGCAGTCTATTCAACATGGTTTGCTTACGATATTCCACGGGCTGATGTGAACATATACGTAAAAATTGCTGATTAACTTAAAATTTAACTTAAATATAAAATAAACATTAATTTTTGATTGAGAATTATTATTGCTGCCCTGTATTTATTTTTATTTCATATTGATTTTATTAAATTTTATTTTGCAAATATTTCTAAATTTTTCTGAATAGTTTGTTTTCAACTAGAGGTTTTACTCCCTTATTACAAAATTGTGGTGTTCAATTTTTGAAATAAGACAGTTTACTCTTTGAGGTCAACTTCATTATATATTTTATATCAACTATTACTCTAAGATATATAATATTTAAACAATTGCATCTTTTTACCAATTTGATATAATTTAAGTAAATGAATTCAAATTTAATTACAGATTTTATAACTAAAATTTAAGACATTAATTAATGTATATATTAAATATATGTATGTGTTTATGACATATCACCAACGTTTTTCATCCGTTATGTACTTAATTAATGTAAATGTCCACAAAACAGTTAGTGAAACAATTCAAATGAAACTTTAAATAAACAACATTAGTACAGAATATCAGTAGTTGTTTCTGAAATTTTGTCTGTCAGTAGTCCATAGAGATTTTAATCGATACACGTTTAAATTAGTAAAAATTTTGTTAAAAAATATATATGCCTTAATAAACGTCTGACACAATAGACATTTCACTGCGCTACTCTATGGAGGGTAGAGAACCATATTATTTTTTGTTAAACATAAATATTTGATCGGTTGTAATTAATTAAGGAAATAAAGTCAAAATAATTATTGTTAACTGCGACAGTTATCGACATAATAACTTTAATCATTCAACGAGAAATTAAAAAAATATTAAACGATTTGGTTAATAAACACGAAATTACTTTCAGAATATACATTTTAGTTAAATAGCAAATTCAGTGACAATATCAAGCTTTCATCGTGTAAATTTCAGAAGAAAACTTTTTCAATATTTAAAATTTGTACTCAAACATAAACGACAATGATGGGTTCAAAATTTTTGTTTATAATTTTAATACGCATCTCGTTGTTCATATTCTCAGCACAGGTAAAATTTTTAATTATATATTTTTAAAATATCTAAATTTTTGATGATATTAAAGGCTACTTCCAAATATGAATTTACTAATATTGTGTGTAAATCACTTGATAAGGAATTTTCCGATTTCGAATATTGTTTCTTAAAGTCGGTTAACCGCTCATATAAATATACGTCCTTAAAAGTTAAACTGTATAAACTGCCAATAACAGAAGTTAAGGTATGTTCTGTGTATATATTTTTCAATTATAATAACTCAAATATTGAAATATGTATATCATTTTAATTCTTGATTTAGATCAGATACGCTCTTTTAAAACGGGCAAATGGTTATAAGCCATTTCTATACAACATAACATTCGATGCCTGCGAATTTTTACGATCGCCTAATAATCCAGTAACAAAAATAGCGTTCACATTGATTAAGAAACATACAAACATGAATCATACCTGTCCTTTTGATGTAGGTATTTTACTATTGAATTTTTAAAAAATATTTTATAATGTTTTATATTTTAGCATGATTTGATTGTGGAGAAACTTGATTCAAGTTATGTGGCAGATAAATTATCAGTTTTACCTATTCCGAGTGGAGATTATGCAGTCTATTCAACATGGTTTGCTTATGATATTCCACGGGCTGATGTGAACATATATGTAAAAATTACTGATTAACTTAAATATAAAATAAACATTAATTTTTGATTGAGAATTATTATTGCTGTCCTGTAAATTGATTTTATTAAATTTTATTTTACAAATATTTCTAAATTTTTCTGACTATTTTCTTGTCAACTTTAAATATTACTCCTTTATTATCTGATGATTTGATCTAGATATTGAGTGTACTAAGTCGTACTAGTACAGTTGATCTAATATTAGCCGTATTATGAAAATATGTGTGGATTAGCATTGTCAAAATGAAATAAAGTAGCTTAACTCTTTATTTGATCGAGTTATTTTTTTCGACATATAGATTCAATTGTATTAATTGCTGATACTGGAAGGGCAACGACGCTAGTTTTTTCGTTCAGTTTATGAATCACTCATATTTTAAGATTTTGTTTTAAAATCACCTGACAACACATTCTGTAAAAGAATTATCTAGACATATTTATATATAGTTTCTTAGTGATGTTATAATTGCTAATATTCTTTAATCGACCTTTATTTGACTAATAAAGTTTGAATCAATTTAATAGGTTTTTTTGACACGACAAGAACGTAAAGCAGCTGTCAAATCTAAATTTTCTGAATAAAATCGAGTCATTTATTTTGTTAAAAATCTACATTTAAGTTTTTTTTTATTTATAATTTCTACTTAAATATAT